ACTCAAATTCGACTCCTCTCTAAATAAATGAATTATTATGTATTATTTGTAAAAATTATAGTAAAAAATTTCAAAATGAGATTTTTATTTATATATATATAATTATTATAACTCTACTATAATTTTTTGTCATTTTTTAAAAAACTAATCTAAAAAATTATCAAACATATATATCTAAAAATATAATACAACTAAAAAAAACTCTCCATTACAATTCCAAACACACTCAAATTCGACTCCTCTCTAAATAAATGAATTTTAAAAATAAAGTAATAGACTTCATTTCCATCACTTTCAATTCTTTTGATACTCAAATATAAGAATTTTTTTCCTTCACTTTCCTTCTCTTTTTTTTATTTTCTTCAATCTAAATATATATTTTTTATCTTAATTATATAATAAAAAATAATTATTTCTGATTTTTTTATTTTATTTCATCCGTATGTTATCCGATTCAAACTCAAGATCTCTTACTTTTAACAAAAAAAAAATAATCATTAAATTATTTAGATCGTTGATTCAATTCAAATATTTTGAATTTTATAGAGTTGATATAATTTAAACTACCACAGTTTTAACATATATAATTGATGAGGTAATATTTGACGCCAGATGGGGAGGATGGTGATTGGTGAACAACACCTAGAACTAGAAGGGCTGATGGGCAGAAAGTTGGTACCTAGTTAATAGAAAGTTGTCATTTTAATAAATTTTTGACACGGTAACAAGAAACTTACGACAACTTTTCAGACCAGAAGGAGTAATTTTTTTACCACATATAAATCATCTCATTATAGTAAATAATCATCTGAAAGGATCTTGGTTATAACTCCAGATTTCACATAATCAAATCATTGAATAAATTATAAAAAAATTGAAAATGTATAAAGTTGAAACAGATATGACCAATTAATGCAGAGCAAAATTCAAACAAAAAAGTGTACAAAATAATGTCTTAAGTTCTAAAACCTCTATTTTTTTATATATCAAAAGATTAATTATTTGACAAAATAAAATTTTAAAATTTTAATTTTAATTCTCAATTAAAAATTTTAAATTAATAAATATAAACACAACCAAACTTTTGTTGGTTTTAAAAGCTCTATCTTCCAACTAAATCAAGGTATCTCAGGGTTTTATCCTGAAATGAGGTCTATAGTATACCTGAATGGTACCTCCAATTTGGTGGTGTGAACTAATCGTTAGACAAAAAAACAGGGGAACACATCAAGAATTGACAGGATCTAATTAGCCCGTGTGGTGATTATTGATCACTGTGACAAAGTCCTTTTCCTAAGCCTATACTAACACACATTTAATTCAGTGGGACCTTACTTGTGTATCTGTTTCGTGCACCATCTACCATTTTGTGTGGGAACATGCTGGCTCTAGGTCCAGAGGTGCTTGCAGATGTGCATAGAGTTCATTTTCATACACAGTAAGCATGCACGCAAGCACTTGCTTTTCTACCCTCTTATCCTTAAAATAGAATAAAAACAGATATGCATATGCCAGATTTTCCCTTGCTTAACTTTGGCACAAACACACTTAATCGTGCTTGATTGGTGAGTGATGCAAGAACGCATGCTTAGAAAGGCAAATCGTCGGCAATCATGCTTTTGTTTTGTCATTTGTCGTCTGAGATTACACTTGGAGAATTTTGAAGAGAAGGAGATGAAAAAGGTGAAAGAAAACATTTGTGGAGTTTGTCCTGATTGATATTGATTGCTGCCCAAATTTTCTGAGTTTTTATTTTGCAGTCAAAATTAGGGTCCTTACTTAGTTGGCTCAAAGGTCGAACCGCAAGAAAATTGGGGTAGAATTTTGAAGGTATTTGGGGATGCCTGAAGGAAGACAATGCGAAGTGGCAAAGAAAAATGGACACGGAGAAGCGAAAAGGAGCAACCAATGACGGTGCGCAAAGGAGCATAATTATTGCCAGAGCACAATACAATCGTACATTACCATTTCATTTCTTTCTCAAATTATGGATGACTTTGAATTGAATATAATTTTTGGATATCGAAGTTGGAACTTAGAGGAGTCATGTAGATTTTGGTAGGAAGAGTGGTTACGAGAGTGAGATTTTACTCGAGTTGTTTAAGTTGTAATTAGAGCAGCCATTTCTTGTAAGAGTGAGCCTGTATTGACCATAAAGAACTGTTCTGACATAGATCTCACATCATTTGATGTGTGCTCTATGTTTGTGAGTACGTGAGCTCATTTGTGACTGTGACTAATTTTTATTTTTATTTTTATTTTTACAAAAATAATAATTATGAAATTAGTGAGTTAATTATTAGTATTTAATTCTCATATCAAATGAACAATTCACATCCGCAAAAGTGATGTACAATCATTAAGCCGCATTTTGGTAGAATATACGATATTGATAAAGTTCGAAACTCTGACTATTATCTCACCCAAACATTAAGATTTTGGGGGGAATCATTGAATTACAAGAACCGGTCCTTATTACTAATTTTTTATGACAACATCAAACTCTTGGAGTTGGTTTGGTTGGTGGGTACGGAAGGAGGATAAAAAAATTTTTTATTTAATTATTAAAAAATTAGATAAGAGATGAGAGAAAATTTTTGTTTTATTTTATTTTTTTAATTTAATCAATTATTAAAATAAGGTGAAAGGAAAGAAGAAGAATAGAGAGAAATAAAAAGATGTAATTTTTTTCCTCTTTTTCTCTTTTTTTTTTCTTTATCCAAATATAAGGTTAAGTAAAGAAAATTGTGATAATTTCAAATTTACATTAAAGTTATGCAGATTTTTACTTGAAATTTTATTAGCCTAGTGAGAGTTTTAACTTAAGTCAATTAAGTTGAATTCTTGATTTTTAAATTTATATAAAATAATTATAAAAAGTTTAAAAATATTTATTTAAAGAGCAAAAGATTTTATCTCGCTTTTGCTTTTAACCTTTTGGAAATGGAAAATGACAATTACCTCCGTTCAACTTTAATTGTCTTAATATGATTTTTTAATTTTTTTAAATATTAATTTTATATAAAAATTTAAAATAATATATAAACGACAATTAATTTTTTTTATCAAATAAAATTAGTCATGAACTACATATAGAAAAAAAAAATCACAATGCAAGAAGTATAAAAAAAATCAAAAATCTTTTATGAAAATTAGGCTTAGGTAGCGTTGGGGGCTCCTTTTTAATAGTATTTTTTCACATAACATCTCGTAAAAGTATTAATTATTATAATTCAATTAATTTTAATTAATATTTTGATATAATTTTATTGTTATACAAATACATAAAATTTTTTATAAAGTAATTATCAAATAATAATAAATTTTTTTTATAATAAAACATTAAAAAAATTGGAACTACAATATTTCATAGAAATTCTAAACATAATCTTAATCTCTCTTTAACTTTTTTTTTTTTTTTTTGAATGAAGAAAACCTTTCTATAAATTGGTACAAATAGTATCTAATACAATGAATCAAAAGTCAACCCAAAGTCTCCAACTCCTAAAAAAAGATGATCCGAGTCTTGCAACCTATTATTATGTCCTTAGACTACTTGAGAAGCATTTTAAAAGGATGGCAGCTTCTCCTATTATTTGGTCCTTGCAGTTAGCTGTGTTCACATTTGATTTAATCTTATTGATATTATTTAATTTGAATTACTTTAACTAAAAATTATATTAAATTAATATAAAATTAGATTCGTTTAAATTATAAAATTTTAAAAATAATATAATTGGTTTAGTTTATAATTTTACTTTCAAACTGTTAAACTGTTTGATTATCAAATAAAACTCAATTATAAGATAATTTAATTAAATAATATAATTTTTTTGTAGTATTTTAAATTTTCTTTTTCTTGTTTCACAAATTAATAACTTCATTAACTTAATTAAAAAATAAAAATCGAATATCTTTATATTTTTTAATTTATTTTTTCTTATTAATCTTGCACTCTAATTTTCATTTTAAATTTCTAATTTGTTCATAAAATGATATTTTGATTCTCTTAACTAAGTTTTAAAGAAACATCATTCAATAAGTAAAACTTCATAATAAAACTAGTTTTAATATTTTGCTATTTTTAGATGTTTTGTTAAGGAGTTTTAAATTTTGATCTTGAATGCTTTCAATCAATTCCAGTGATATTTATTTAAATTTTATTT